CAGAAATCCTCGAGATCGGAGAAGAAGGAGTAAGTCAATAAAGAGAAGGATCCTAACTCTATTATCAACTTCTCTAGGAATCATCTCCAAGTTGACGGTGCGCCGGAGAATCTCAGTCCTCGCCAACTTCGTCGTCTCCACTTCCGGAAGAATCCTCATCACCGACTCTTTCGGCAAGAATCTCTGCATATCTTCCATCGTCGTTCCTTCGATGGGGATACCTGAGATTGACAATGTCATTGGCAACTAACCATTCTTGTGACGTGGCACTTTTAGCATAATTATTTCATTTCCACCCTGGACATTGTTAGAATGCATAAGTATCAGTTATCATTTTGNAAAGTTCTTACCCNTGGNACCACCCTTAAATACTCTTTTGCTTGAACTCACTTGTGAACTGAAATCGTTGAGTGTGTCTTGATCTCCTCCAAATGCGATCAAATCGCTTTCTGATGAACTTCCACCAAGAGAATCTCTTCGAGATCTTGTTCCGTACAATCTGGAGGCGACCGACGCGCTGCTCGCCGAGCTGCCTGTAATCGCATAGGCGAGTCCTGGAAACAAAAATATAACTGTTTTTTTCAATTGATTAAAGTAGTTTTTTCTAGAAATTTTGTTAAGAAAAGATTGAAAATGTAAATGAAATTGGAAGAGATTGACTGATCGAATGAAGGAAAGAGACGAGAAGGATGGGAATAAGCGGAAACCGTATCAAATTAGCATCTGATTTTCTCGAATCTATTCGGTATCTAGTTCCGTTCCTCCTCCTCTTCCTTCCCTCTTCTTTTTTAATTCCAAATAAATTCTTCAATAAGGTGGAAAAGTAAAATGGTGGGCTGGTTGTTGGGGGTCCAACGGATGCCAGGTTGGCACAGCTGCTCAAATTGTGCTCACTTCCTGTGGGAAGCCTAGAAGAGTACTACTCTCAGCTATTGTTAGGAAATAGAAGTGAAAGAGCATTACAAGCACTTTTTTCTATTCTTGGTTTTTTTTTGAAAGGGTGGAAAGACTAACTAGGATAGAGTTTCGATAAATGGGAACTGGTCTAGAAGATTAATTGGGAACCGATTTGAGATCATCGAAAACAACATTGGATTAGAGGAGAGATTAAATGGAATTGATTTGATTTGTGAAGAAGGAGAAAAAGAACTTTTTTATCAACAACTATGACAACACGACAAGGATAATAGCTTCCATACATTCCAGCCTTCCCAGAGAAACTAAAACTCACATCAATCAAATAATGTTCTTTTTGAAATTCTTCAATTTTGAATAGTGGTTAGTAGGATATAAAGAATGAAAGTGTGTGGAGGACGAGGCAACAAAAAATTGGAGGTGGAGAGAGTGGCGGATTGCGAAACCGAACTCTAAATCTCTCCTTTTATATTATTTCTCTTTTTTTAAGCTTCTCCTGCTCTGAGCCGTCCGTTTCTATAGAAACTCTTTGGAATGGGAAAAGAGCCAAACGGCTGAATGACGCACGTGCAAGAATGTAGTTCTATGATGATGTTAGTATTGAAAGGAAATCCAATATGTTCTACATAGGACAAAGAACTACAACTAAAATATTGGTCCATCATGTTGAAAAAAGATTCTGAATGTCATGTCATTTCATGTTCTGACAAGTTTCTCGTGCCACCTGAGCAGGAGGGCGGTGATAAAATGAGTGATAAGAGACGCAGCAGCTTCTCTCAAGAAATGAGTCAATTTTTCTTTTTTTTTTCAGAGGGGAAGGGGCGGAAAAGAAAGCACTTCATCATTTTTGACTCACAATGGAGCATTGAACGGTGTGCGCTTTTGTGAAAAATGCCGCGTCATGTTCAGAATCTTTGAAATTCAGAAAGTTCAAAATGATTCACTGGAAATGGTCGAAAATCTGTTTCACTATATATTGTGTCATTTGATACTCACACGAAGAGATAGAAATAGTGTGAAAACTGGCAAAAACAGATTAACGGATCACCGATATCGGGTGAAAAAGACAATGAAAAGAACAGAGGAAGTGGGTGTTGGAACTTTTGAAAAAGTAGATGAGTTTGGGAAACGAGTAATATACTCGGCTGAATTTCTGGTCAACAGTTCAAAAGACTTTGGCTTTTCAACGGATATTGGTCAAATTCTGGTTGGAAATCGCCCAAAAACGGCTGTATAGCGAGCCATGGTCAGATATTGGAAGTTTGAACTAGATTGGAATTTTCATATTGAATAGAAATCTAAAAAAAAATAATATTCTTCTTTGAAAAGTTTGATGTTTGTCTTCCTGTTGGAGCTTGAGCGTTTGGCTTTTCAATTACCGTTAAACGTGTAATAGAAGAACCTACTAACTTTTAACTTCGACCCCATTTATCTCGGTTCCTCTCAAAGATATCAAAAAGTTGTCAACTAAAAATTGTTCATCATAATGTTATAAGTATTTTGTCATTTAATTACTTTTTGATATCTTCCACAGGAATCTAGATAATTGAGCTCCAAGTTGACAGTGTGTGGATCCTTCTATTACAGGTCTTACGGTACCAGAAAATCGCAATATACCGACTAATACAACACAAATTGAGCGGAGTATTTTCAGAGAGCATAAATTTCAGACAACGACATCACTTTATATTCTACCATATCTCGGGTGGGAAAATCAGTAGGCGTTTTCTTCAAATCTCACCTCGTATAGTTGGAGCATTCGTATTCTTGTTATTACAATATCAGAATCGAGCTTTTAGAAAAATAACAAATATAATGAGTTATAGTGAGAATATTCTAGACGTTCTGACGCTGGTTCTCAATAGAGACCTAAAACTCAAGCGAGGCAATATGAGAGAGATATCAAGTGACGGGAATGACGCGTCGATCGGCAAAATGACTGCCTTGTCCGGAACACGACGTATTTGTCGTTCCGCCACACGGTTTTTTTGCTGCTGCGCGGTCTCTCTCACTCTATTCCGGAAGAGAACAAAAACATACATAAACATACAGACAAAAACGATTTTTTGGAGAGAGAAATATGACGAAAAAGCCTTGGGGATAACAAAGAGCGCAACACGGCATAGAGAGAAGCATGAGAGGAAATGGTTTGTGATGATGCCCGGAATGAGAGTGCGTGAAGATTACGGTAAGTGGTTTGGGGATCCTAACCATGGAACCGGACTACATCTAGAAACTTATATAGGAGAAAGGAGAATGAATAAATTTGAGAGGAGGAAGAAGAACGCCGGCCATTTTGTTAATGGAGATGTGGAAAAAAGGAAGAAAGTGTTCTAGAAGGTAATACAGCTGAAGTAAAGAATGGTGAAGATTCTTGAAATATGGGGAACGAATAGGGCTGAAAGATCAAGAAGTTTGATTTTCTTTTAACTTTGTTCATAGACAATATACATTTTTTCAAATAATATCATTTTGTAGTACTTGTTGAGTTCTACCATATCTAATTGATTTGGTCCAAAAATACTGATTCTAAAAGAAACTATGGCACAGCCAGGTTTGTAAACGTGTATGCTTTGGGTGGTTTGAGAATTTTGGGTTTTAGAAAACTGAAAATTGGGAGACACCAGCATATTAGACGGATTTTTAAAAAACATTTCTGATAAGTTCGAAAAACCGAAACTAACCAGTACAAAGTAACACCTTAAAATCCAGATTTACGCCAATCAAAAGATCAGCAAGACCGAACGACTCATCTTCGATGATCATTGCTGTTATCTGTTTGTGTTGTGTTCCGCCACGAAAAACGAATAAAATAGAACCCCACCAGAATCGTTCTCTTTTTTCAGCTTCAGTCATTTTTTAGCTTTTTTTTAATGACGTGGCAGACAGATATACTGACTCATTTACCATGACGTTAACCCCAAAAAGACACACAGTTCATCAGAGATCACTAACAAAGTTGTTCGACAAACAATCGGAAAAATAGGCAATTTTCAGTTTTGGACTAATAGCAAACTGGGTGAAGAAGAACCACGTGACGTGGAAATCGATTCTTCTGACTTCAGACGCCATAATTATGTGCTAGAAACGAAGGGGAAACCCGGGAAGAAGAAGAAGAAGAAGAAGAACGTCTCGGTTGGTCTTTTTGCTTCAGCTGAGAGAGTGGTGTATCGAAATACGGTTTTCGAGTGGTTGGAAAAGCTTCCCTCCGATTTAGAGAGTAGTCGAATTCCCGAGACATAGAGACCCAGAGCAAACACCATGAAAAAGGATGGATGGTCTTTTCAAAAAGGTGGGAAGACAGTTTTTCAGTGACTCATCTGTATGAATGTACCAAAAGAGAGGCAAAAAAATGAGCGAAATTGACAGTTACCTGTGAGGGTGAGGGACGAATCGAAATAAAAAACGGAACGAGGAAGGGGTCAGGAGATATTGAAGCAATTAGAGATCGATGAAACTGTCTTTGGTTCCAATAGTGTCTCACCGTAAAACCTGTATTAGAAGGAGCTCCTGAGAAGGGCTTGGAATAATAGAAGGGTCCCTGTAATAGAAGGGCCCCCGTAATAGAAGGGCCTCCTGTGAAATAGAACGCTCTTCAAAATACGTACGTTCAGAAAAACTAAACAAATCGAAGACCGTGAATTTGACAAGCAGTTCTGATGGGTGGTAACAGATTTGCGCAACTCCAAAGTCAATGTGGACACGAATAAGTACTTACCACGTACTTGGACTCCTCTTCTGACACTTCTGACACGAATTCGGTGGTCATTGTTTGAAAAATGAAAACTGAATCAATAGTTCAGAAGGAGGTAATAGTAGTGTGTGGGGCGAATGCGGCAAAACTGTATTGAGAAAGGAGAAAAGTGAGAAAGAGAAAGAGACTGTTATCAATTTCGAAACCGCCTCCTTCGTCTTCTTCAACTTTTCCTTCCTCTGCGTCTTACTGGCTTCTTCTTCTTCCTATTTCAGTTGCCACTGTATATTTTCAACCACGGTCATCAGGTGGAGGTTGTAAACCCTATACTCTCTCTCTCTCTCTCTCTAGTCTAAAAAAAATGGAGACGTCTTTTTGTCGATGATGATGAAGGAATTGCGAAATCAGAGAGGGAAAACAGAAAGGAATCCGGTTTTTGAGGATAGTCTCCCTCACTCTCTATGTGTTCACTTGTTTTGTACGTCTTCTTCTTCTTCTTTTTCTTTTATGGAGACAATCAATAGTTTTTTTCGAAGACGTGCTTATCTGACAAGATGAAGCAAAATTCATCCGATGGTCACACCCAAGAAAAGTTGAAATGATAAGGAATGGGGTCATGATTTTTCGAGAAAAAAAAAATAGACGATGATGTTATCACAAGGAACCGAAAAACTTCAGAGATAGAACGGAGAAGAGAAGTAAGAACTTCTATTGCCTTGAAAATTTTAAGTCAGTGATTGGTTATTGCGTGGTTAGAAATAAAATAAAAACGTCCTTATAAAAGTCTGGGAATCGGTTTTGGGTTTTTTTCAGAGATCAAACGTCGTCTAACCGTGAAAAACAGTTATTTGCCTTTATTTTAGAATTACCGTAAATTCTGTATTGAAAGGGTTGGTCCTTATTACGGGGGCCCTTCTATTACAGGGGCCTTTTTATTATTGCAAGCCCCTCTCGGAGGGCCCTTCTAATACAGGGTTTTACGGTAAGTCGAATTGTCAAAATCGAAATTCGTTGATTTGCTTCATCTTCTTCAGTATCGCAACTTTTAAGCAACACAACAGATAGAATGAAACTAAAAAACTAAATTTGGCTCAACAAGCTCTCGTTCCCATGGAACAGATCTCTGGTCACAAGCAGAACACAGACCAAATACGAACTGACCAATTAATGGGAAAAAACTAAAAAAAATAGGACGGTAGACGGCTTTTGTTGTATGAATAAAAGGAAGAAGAAAAAAGAAGAAAAAACGGATGGTCATTTATAGAATGAAGTGGGCGAAAAGTGGAAAATGAGTGGTAGGATGAGGCAGGATGAAGTATAATTTGAGGCGGATTGAGGACATTTATCCAAATTCCACTTTACGAAAAAAAAACATTTGACTTCTTTTCAGTTGAAGCAAAAGATAAATGTATCCTAGTACAAATGAAATGCGAACGTGTTGCTCTCGGAGACCGCCTTTTGTTGTTATGTGAACAAGGCTCAAGTTACTTGTACGGAAAGAGAAATAGTGTTGGAGACGAAGAGACGCAGATGAAATGTGCAGGTAGAAGACAAGATTCAATGTGTACTCGAGTGAACAGAGCATTAGATTGTATGGAGAATCGGAGGAAAATGAATAAAATATGAAATTGAATATATGTTTTATGTGTATGCAGATGACTCAACTTTTGGGAACTTTGTTACAATAACCCACTTATAACCTGTAATAGAAGTGCCCCTAACTTCAAGCCATATTTTTCTCAGTTACTGTAGAAGATATCAAAATCATTTCAACTAAAAAAATGTTTATAATAATATCAAATATATTTTGTTAGTTGAAAACTTTTCGATATCTGTCACAGGAACCGAGATAAATCCGCTCAAAGTTAAAAGTTAGGGTGCCCTTCTATTAGAGGTTTAAGGTATTTATTTTTCATATAGAAACATGAAAATTTACGTCTCGTTTCTAGGGGTCCCTAAACCAAATTCTGAAAAAATAAAACTGTTCAAAAGGACTGTAGAACATGAGCAAACATATACTACAGTTGTTTTCGTGTTATTTTTGAATTGCCACTCAAAAACACACCTTCCCAAAAATATCAGTTTAATCCGTCATGTAAATATGAACAGTGTTCCTCATTAGTTAGCCAAATATTAGCTTCAAAGTCAAAAAATATTTTGGTGAAGCCGAAAAAAAACTAAAAACACACCTCTCTGGCTGGCGACTCATACACGTCGGTCATGATGACGATGTCGCCGTGATACTGATGAATCTCGTCCTGGAACCCAATTTTGAACTTCTTTTATTTTTTCGTTCGATTCGATTTTTTTGATGTTGAGAGGTAGAGATGTACGCTCTGAAAATGGAATCATATTTGCTCATATTTCATGGTTTGAACGGAGGAAAAAATGGAAAAAGGGAAGGTGTACACTGAAAATAGAAAGAAACTGTTAGGAGGGAAAACGGGGAGGAAAAAGAGAATGTATGAATGTGTAAATGTTGGAACTACCGGTACTCGAGCAAATATGAGGTGACAAAAATGAAAAACGAAGGAATGTTCATAGGATCAGAGAAAAAGAGAGGTTGGAAAATTTAGAAGCTTCAGAAATTTTTTTTTTTTAATTTTTCTAACGATTTTTAATCACAGGTAAAGGGGTACTGCTGAAAAACTGCTACATTTCAGTTGAAGAGGAAAATAATAACTGCTAGTTGACAGTCAATGGAGGACTGACGGCCCGTTGACGGACTGTCGACGGACAATCGGAACCTCTTTGAACTTTAAAGTTTTGATTGAAAATCTTTAATATACTGTTCGGAATTTCGAAAAGTTTTTGACTTTATATGGCGTAAATAGGAGCTGAAATAGCTGAAATAAAATTTCAGCTGATCAATTTCAGTGTAACCATGGTGATAACTGCGTCAGTCAGAAGAGTCTAATAATCCGACAGCTGTTTACTTTTCAAAGAAAGCTCTCGAAACCCCAAAATGAGTCACTTCTCCAGCTTCATCTTCTGCTCCGCCGCTGCTTCTCCATTCACAATTTGTCATTTTCTTCGCGAATGGGGTGCGAAAAAGTCATCTGTCCTTTTTTTTTCGAGAAAAAGGAATGTGTATACCATAATTTATGTGTGAATCGAGAATCGAACAAAATGGAAGTGAGGGAAAATGGATGGATCGAAAAAGAGTGAGTGGAGAATGGACAGAAGAACGGAAAGGACACTATTCACCCATACTTCTGCTACGACGACTACTAGTTTTTCGGTTTAAATAGGAAAATGGGGAAGAAAAATAGCACTGAACTGCCCCGTATAATAGGTAGTGTTGGTCATTTTTGAAGTTTGAAGGGTGGAATTAAATTGTTTGGGGCGATCAGAAATCGATACAAAGATCAATTGAGCCAGCTATCATTGTGAAAAGTATATTTTTAAATTTGATCTCAATTATATCAATTCCTATGCAAAATATCAAAAAGGTGTCAACTAATAAAACATTTGTGATATTATGATAAACAATTTATTAGTTGACGCATTTTTGATATCTTGTATGGGAATTGAGATAAGTTGGCTTAAAATTCAGAGTTAGGAGCCCTTCTATTACAGGTTTTACGGTAATAGAGATTCATGAAAACTGCTTACAAAGCCAATATTTAATTCGAGTAGGAAAATGTTTCAATATTAGAATAATCAATGTTTTATATAAGAATAGTCAATGTTTATAGAAGAAGAAATTTCTGGAACTGAAAATTGATGTCCTATCTCTAACCTCTGAACACTCCAAATCTCATTTTAAGCTATCCGATAATTCGATGTCAAGTGACACAACCGATGAAAGAGAAAATTGCTGATGACAGAATGAAAGAAAAAAGTTTTGGGTGGAATTTAGGGATCGAATCATCGGAAAGCCTTGCGTAATTGACATTCATTCGCTCGATAAAATCTTGAAAAACGGGACGAACTGCGTCTAGCTTCTATCCTCTTCTCTTTTCCGACAAATTTTTATTACACACTTGGATGACTTCCTTTTTTAGATTTTTTCCTTTTTTTTAACTCCGCAGGAACCAAAAAACTAATAAGATGTCGGAGAAAGGTGGGC